CATAGTTATTTAAACCTTGCATGATAAAACCCATTGTATTGGCAGCCAAAACAGTAAAATTCATGTTGGAAACAAAAACTGCCATATTACCTATTATCCAGCAGGTGGCGCTGTTGCCAAGTCACAACGAAAACGGGTCCTGATTAAGTGTCCGCCTAGTATTTGTTAAAAACTGGGAAATGCAAGTTGCTCAACAAAGTAAATGTAATTAAATCAATTCTGTACACGGAACCATAAACCCAGAATCCAGGGGTAGAAAAGAGTAACCCAGAAGCTGTGTATGCCTCCACGTGACAGAGTCACCCTGAGGGGTTGCAGCTTTTGGCAACCACGTGCTCTGGTTCGCACCGCTTAAGAACTGTACTTGCAAGGGAGATTTAAAAACGACTCAGAAAAGAGCAAACTACACAGGCAGAGACTACATGGGCCTGTGAAGTTTAAATCCGTGTGGGGAGGCAGAAGATAGGGTGTGTGGGGATTTGAAGTCAATCTGAGGTGTCTAAAGGGAAAATATAAAGAACTGCAGCAAGAAAAGCCAGTGCGTGATAATTTATATTAAACTGCTGGCTCCACTCACAAGGCACAGGACAGAAGGCCGCCACAAGGCACAGACCACGGCTGAGGAAGGGAGGGCTTGAGCCAAGCCAAACTCGAGGCCAGCAGCTGAGCGGGGGAAGGAAAGGTCCTAAAAGCCCCACATTGGGCGCCAGATGAAGACGTAGGTCAAAAACAATGCCACACCAGTTTGGAATTATGATTAATAGGGTGGTATTTATTTAAAGAGGAAAAAACTTACAGGTCACCATCCAAGACAACAGCCCTCTGCGCAACCAGGAAGGGAGTCTAGTCGTCGGTGGAGCAGGAAGTGAAGAGAAAGAGCAGAGGGAAGTAGCCACTTTTTTAAAGGGAGAAAGACCACGCCCCAATGGGCTCGCATCTCAGCAGCTATTGGTTGGAGGAGCGGAAGGACCTCCCTCAACAAACATCTCAGGATCACAGAGAAATAGTCTTCAAGAATATGGGGTCATCACCAATCTACTAGGCTGAGTTTCTTTATGTGCATTTCCTTGTATGTTATTCATATGATGAGAAGGAGTAGAGATCTGGGAGGTGAGCCACTGTATGTGAAATATCCAGTTGTACAGTCTCCACCTGGAAATCAAAGCCATGGATATTGGGATCATGTAAATCAAGGCACTTATGATCCAGAGGTCAGGTCACGGAGAGCGAGGCTACATATCTGTGATGCCTGGTTACCACATTCTCCAGCTAGCAATTTGGGATTCTTGGACTATACTTGTGAAGGCTTCTACAGGGACAGACAAAGAGCAACCTGACAAGGTCTCTGAGGAAATATCAGACTTGAGTGGCAGAATGAGAGACCCTCCCTATGCAGTTTAGAGGAAGGGATGACTCCATTCCATGCAGTTGCTGTGTAGTTTATATTATGTGCTCCTGCCAGGCTGCCTCTGATTTCTGGCTGTTTGAAGGGTAGTGTCTGTGGTCTCAAAGCAGAATCAGCTGTGGAATTTAGGAAAGCAATAATCTAGGAAACAAGTTAATGAATGAACTTTTCAAAATGGTCTTTTGATAATAGTTTTGAGTTTGATGATTAAGATGAGGTATTTGTATCTCATCTGTGTAATCCATGGGTCTCCTCCACCAAGAGCACTTGAGGGGGGAGTTAGAAAGAACAAAAGGATATGCAGTCACTAGGAATCATGATGGAAATATATTCCCTGCAGAGTGAGATAAATATGGGATTTGGAGGCCCCCTTTATCCCTGCAGTTCATTGGCCACCAACCCACAAGAACAAAGGGGCAGAAGAGGTGACAGAGAACTTTGGATTACTTATAAACATGGTTGAAATAGCTTTCTGGAATACATCTTCAGTGAGACAGATGAACTTTATTCCAGAGCATAGGGTATATTTAGCATTGGGGTGGTAGCTGGGGAAACTCTAATTTTCACTGGGTGGCATAATCCCATCTTTTAATAAATACATTGTCTAACTAACTGGAGGATTAATGATCTACAAGCCTAAGGTGAACTGAGAAACTCTGGACAGGAAAGTAGATTTGACTGACTATACCTATGCACTCTTCTGGTCAGGCATCCATCTTCATCTTCAGCCTACAGGCCGATAATATCCAGTAGACTTTTCTATGAAGCTGGAAATTTTCAGTCACTTTCTTCTGTGTCCTGCAGAATGTCTTGCAGATGATTTCATGAAGCAGGAACCCTGAAGGACTGGTGTAGGAGGTCCTTCTTTTTATGTGTTGCTTTCGTTGGTTGAATAAAGAAACTGCCTTGGCCTTCTGATAGGGCAGAACTTAGAAGGGGAAGAAGACACAACTGAATTCTGGGAGAAAGAAAGTAGATTAAGAGAAAGCAGCCATGGAGATGCCAGGTTAGACATGCCAAATCTTTTCCGGTAAGCCATGACTTCGTGGTGACATACAGATAATTAGAAATGGGTTAAATCAATATGTGACAGTTGGCCAATAAGAGGCTAAAGATAATGGACCAAACAATAATTTAATTAATATAATTTCTGTGTGGTTATTTCAAATATAAGCTAGCTGGGTGGCCAGGGCAAAAAGCAGGCCCTCCCTCCATCAACAAAGGACCATCTCACCTTTAGGCAAGTTCAGCAGTCCTCTCTCTGTGGGTACTTCCTGTCCAGTGAAGCGGTCTAGGCAAGAGCAGTTTCTTGCCCAAATGGCTAAGGAGCCTCTTCGATACCCATCTTCTTCAGGAAGTAGCTTGGTGCTGCCAGGAGCAGATGTGTCTCATTGTCATGAAAAGTCTAAAGTTATTAAAACATTTTAAATGTCATATTCTGTAGTCTTTGAAAGATATGAAGAATGCCTATCCATCTGAAATGAACATCAAGAAAATCTAACTAACATAACTACAAACTTGACTATTATAGAGACTGTCTATTAATCTATATTTTAATTATATATTACATTTTCAAATGCACTACACAATCACAATACCTTAATCAACATCAGAAATACATATATATATATATAACAAAATTAACTTTAAATTTGTATCAATAAATCAAGATTTATACCAATGCTAATTGTTCATATCTATATCATATCTTCCTTTAAATGTAAAAGAACATTTATAAACAATATTTGGGAATATGAGAATATTTTTTTTCTCTCCAAACTGCTTCCTGCTGTATGGGAGCACTGTCAATCAAGTCTTTCATGGTATATCCTGTGTGACAGGTTTATTTCAGTGAGCAGTTGGGTGAAGTAATTTTTTGAGTGTATTCACAGCAGCCTTTCAGGAGGCTTTGGTCCATGAAACCATATTGGAGTAGAAGCAATCCATAGTTCATCTTCTGGAAAACAAAAGGAGACCCTCTTTTCCAAAGCACCATATCCTTATACCCAAATTCTGAAGTCAAGATACCTGTATAATATACATGCTGGTTTAACCTAGCAGCTTATATAATGAAATATTTTTCTGTACTAGCTCCTTCACAGTCAAAAAATTAAAAAAAAAAAACACACAATAACATGCATAATCTAGACTCTAATTTTCCCATTTTATATGACTTATTTTTACTTTATTACTTTACTCTGTCTCTTTAAAGACTTTACCCTTTTTTTAAGCATTAACTTTTTTATGACTCTCTACTCTTTTTCTTTTCTCTCTCAAGCCTATGTACATTTATCCAACACTGTGACCCATTTCTAGGTCTTTTATGTCAGAATCTGTCCTATTGTGTATCTGTAAGTGTTTACTGTCCAGGAGCACTTCTTAAAATGCTAAATGCTTCTTAAAAACTTAAGTTGTGCCATTAGCAGGGATATTACAGTAACCTGTTTGCCTGCCATCTAAAACTTAAGCTGCACTGTTATGGTAAATATAGGTTCCTGCCTACACTCCTCACTTTCCAACATGGTGGAGATGCTTGCGTCTCTGAGCCATGCACACTGACTAACTTCCAGGCACAAAGCTGGTCCACATTGTCATCTGCAGCAATCTGCTTACAAACCCCATTTTCAAGCCCTCTCAGGTTTTACATGGAGTTAGTTGACCACGTTAAAGTGCCAATGCTCTGTGATCAGGAGTTAATGGAACATGTTCATCGAGTTGAATCTAAGTTGAATAAACTAAATCATCTCCTTACAGATATTCTTGCTGATGTGAAGACAAAAAGAAAAATTTTGGCAACTAATAAATTGCATCAAGTGGAAAGAGAATTATATGTATATTTTTTCAAAGATGCAGACTATCTAAAAGATGTTGTGGAAAATTTAGAAAACCAGTCAAAGATTAAGACCTGATCTTAAAATTAAAGACTGAAGATTTCTAAAACTGAAAAAAAAAGTGCCAATTGTTACAAAGAGAGTTTGCTTATTTGTCCCAGCTACCTGGCTAGCTTATATCCAAAATACCCACACAGAGACTGTATTAATTAACTTACAGCTTGGCCCATTAGCTCTAGCCTCTTATTGACTAACTCTCACATTAGATTTAATCCATTTATATTAATCGGTATACCACCACAAGGTTGTGGCTTACTGGGAAACATTTGGCATGTCTGACCTGGTGGCTACATGGTGGTTCTATGACTCTGCCCTTCTTCCCAACATTCAGTTCTGTCTTCTCTACCTACCTAAGTTCTATCCTATCAGACCCAGCAATTTCTTTATTCATTAGGCAATGAAAGCAACACATGAACAGAAAAACCTCCTATATCAAATCACTGTCGTGAATCTGCAGCAAAAAATGTGTCTGAAAGCAGCAGAGGATCATGCAGGAGACAGAGAAGATATGCTCTGTCTTATAGGATATGATTAGGTGCACAGGTGCATTGCACTCATATTCCAGTTACAGTCATGCATTCACTCCTGGAGGGATGCTTTGAGATCAAGAAACCTGAAAGGGCAAAGCAAAGAAGCACACATACAAAATGTTGCAATGGAATTCATTATTTGGTATACTATCTAAATAATGAATTAAAAGAAAAATTTGAAATTAAATACAAAGCAATTCATAATCATTGGGCAATATACAAAACAAAGCAAATATAAGGAAGAATCAGAACATCACATTTCCCCATTTAGAAGCACTTCCTTGATATGTAATCACAAATACTCTTGTGTCTACTGTCACATGTTCCCCTATCAGATTTTCACTGAACACTGAATCAACTGGCCTGTGATGGAGAATAGTAAATATTTGTTTAATAACATTTTGTGAGAGTTTTTTTAAATAGTCATAATTATTGAAAGAAAGAGAAAATAAATATTGTATTGGATTACATAAGTGTGCTCTTGTGTGTTTCCAGCTATCTGACAAGAAATCATAACCATTGAGTACTTTTTGCACACCACTTTCATGAAAAGTTAATGGTGAGTTGATTTTAAAAGTGATTTTAGGTAGTGAAAGCATCCCAAGATAAAGGTTGAAGTTTATATCAAAGCAAAACATAGATGAAAGCAGAAGGCACATGGAGGGACAGGACTTATGCTCACATATTACAAGAGTAATACTATGTACCTGAATTGGATGCTTTACTGACCTGAAAATTTATAAAAACAATTTGGTTCAAGAAACAAGACATGGTAGCATATTGCAGAGGAAAAAATATATAGATGCAAGTGTAGATCAAAGCCCCTCAGATAGCTATAGACGTTATCCAATGATCCTCTAAGCAGCATGAAGCAACTCCTAGAAGAAAAGATAGCTCATTGCAAACAGATAACTCAAAAGGGATTTCTTATAAAATGAAACCTCAGAGGGAAGATCAGGAAAAATCCTCCTATAGACATTACTCTGATTATCCTGTGATCATAGACTGATAATTGCAAAAACGCTCCAGGGCATACTATGACTCTGGGAAGAATACATAAAGGCAAAATAAATAAATAAATAAATAAATAAATAAATAAATAAATAAATAAATAATAGTGACCAACAGAAATGTGGGAAATATTTTATGTAGAAACTAGGAAAAAATGCAGACAGACCTGCAATATTATTATTTATAAAACTCATTTATACTAAGTGGGCAAAGGTAATTGCCACCAAGCATGACGACCTGAGTTTGCTCCTTGGGACTAACATGGTGGAAGGAGAAAAGTGACTACTGAAAGTTGTCCTCTGATTTCCACATTTGTAAAAATGTAACTTAATGGTAGTTTACAAATTCAAGAGTACTAACTTAAAGATAAAATATAGGTCCTAGGTGCAATAACAAGAAAGAGGAGTTTTAATTAACTGAGACACAAGACAGTGGTTGTGAAACCCAAGTGTTAAGCAGCATTAGAAAGTTCAGAAAAGGTGAAAACTGTCCTATTGTAGAAATGGCCCTAATCAATGAGACTGTGGCAAGAAAGGAAGGTAAATACTTTGCACTGCCTATTCCTTTCATTATAACTGGTCATCAATCATACTTGCTCTAAAAGAAGTAAGATTGATGCTTTATTCATTATTGCATTTAGTATAATTTTGTACTATAATTATTTTTAGGAATATGAATACAGTGAATATGGGGACTCAGGAGAAATATCTGAAGAGAAAGTTTTAGCTCCATAGCAGTCTACCTCTGAATTTGTCTGGACAAAGTGAAAATGTTGATAGTAATTTTTGACTGAATGATATTTAGAAGACACTGTGCAAAAATAAACTAACAAAATCTTTTTTTAATGGTTTTTCGAGACAGGGTTTCTCTGTGGCTTTGGAGCCTGTCCTGGAACTCCCTTTGTAGACCAGACTGGCCTCAAACTCACAAAGATCCGCCTGCCTCTGCCGCCCGAGTGCTGGGATTAAAGGTGTGTGCCACCATCCCCTGGTTATAACAAAATCTTAATACCACAGTGTTATATAAAATTCTGAATCACCAAATAAAAAAAATCATTCCTAAATTGGCAAGCAAAAACTGGAATCCCACCTAAGTACCAGTGGCCTTTGTAGAAAAGAAAGGTGAATAGCTTTTGCACAAAAAAGTAACATTAGCAATGTCCCATTTTGGCAACATTCCCAGCCCTCAGGTTTCAAGGGAAGTCCTGGGACTGGCGAGATAGCCCATCAGTTAAGACCAGTTGCTGCACAATCATAAGGACTAGCATTTGTAACCCAGCACCCACATAATAATCTGGACATTGCTTACATACCTGTGACTCCAACTCCAAGGTCAGGGGTGAAACAACAGTGGGAAGGGACAGAAGGATCAATATACCTTGTTGGTTTTCAGCCTAAAAAAAGGCAAACTCAAGGTTCTAATGTGGTATTCCCTTCTGTGTGCTTTGAATATGTTTTATTAGCATTGGTTAATAAAGAAGCTGCTTTGGCCTATGGCAAGGCAGAATATAGCAAGTCAGAAAATCTAAGCAGAGAAAGAGGAGGAAAGAAGACAGAGTCAGAGAGATGCCATGTAGCCTCCCAATAACCAAGAAGTAACAAAGCCCTTAAAATAAAAACAAACATTTATAAACAATCATTTTTGTAATTTTAATGTAATTCTCTTCAAACTGCTTCCTGCTGTTTTTTGAGCAAAATATTTTTAGATATCATAGAAATCATTTGGTGTGGGGTGTCTTCTTCCATCAAACCACATTAGCCTGTAAGAAATCCACAGGTTCTCGTCTGCTGTGGAGACAATAATAGAAAATCTTTTCCAAAGTAACATATCCTTAGACTCAAAGTTTGAAGTCAAAATACTTTACATATATATGTTGGCTTAGCTTACCAACCTCCAGAATCAAATGTTTTTCAGCAGTTAACTCACTAACAGTCAAAAAATCCAAAGGAAACACAATAATAGACATAACCCAG